ACAGTTAAGGGTTAAGAAGTTCACCTAGCCTAGCTGACACCTGACCAGAGGAACCAATGGGGGGACAAAATGTTTCACCCAGAAAGGAGGGAAGAGTCCTTTGTTCAGTCTGTTCATTAAGTTCTGTGCCGGAGTAAAAAGATCAAGAAATCACCCAGGGTAGGGAGTATTAGAGAAGGAATGAATTAGCTTATGTTTATTTCCTTTTGTGACTTTGTCTTTTTACATTAAAGGGATAATCAAATTGGGTTTTCTTTTGTGTAACTAAGGTTTTTGCCCAGAGGAACATCCTCTGTGTTTTGAATCTGTTGTCTGTGAGAGTAGCTTGTATGCTAATCTCGCAGAGGTATTTCTTTTACTCCTTTTCTCTATTTAAAAGCCTTCTTTTTAAGAACCTAATTGATTTTTTCCTTGTTTTAAGATCCAAGGGGTTTGGATCGGTGTTCACCAGAAAATTGGTGGAAAAGTCTTTCAAGGTTACCCAGAGAAGGGTTACAGTACTTGGGAGGGAGAGATTTTCGGGGGGAAGACAGAGTTTCCCAAATGACTCATAAACAGCTGTTTTAAACTATTTGGGTGGTGGCAGCAACCAGATCTAAGCTGGTAATTAAGTTTATGGGTTCTCATGCAGGTCCCCACATCTGTACCCTAATGTTCAGAGTGGGGGTGAAACCTATGACACCTTGTCATTGTGGCTATCTTCTTGCTGCAATTAGTAAAACAGGCCTGTGATTATCAGTGATCAGGGTGGAGATCTGGTATGGCTGATACCTTCTGGGTATGGCTAAACTAACTTACAATTTTGGCAACTTTTTTCTTCATACAGTAAACGCTGTTTTATCTGGCACTTCACCAACCAGAAAGCTCTATAAACCGGCATTTCTGATCATCATTGACATTCCAGTTTATAATCCACTTGGCACAGTGCTGGCAGGGGGTTGGAGCACAGAAGGGGTTATGGAGTGTGGGCTCTGGGAGGGAGTTTGGGTACGGGAGGCGGTGCAGGGCTGGGGGTTGGGGGAGTAGAGCTGGGGCACAGGCTCTGGGAGGGAATTTGGGTTTGGGAGGGAGCTCAAGGCAGGGGGTTGCGGGGTGGGAGGGGATGCAGGGTGCCAGATTTGGTGGATGCTCCCCTTGGGTGGCTCCCTGCAAGCA